TTTCTGAATTCCAAATTTTGGAATTTAGCATGGTTTATGCCCTGAAAGGCACTGTGTGTTACTGATTGATTGCCTCAGTCCTGTGTAAGCCAGCAGGCTCTTGTCTCTGCATAGAGCCCCACTGTGTTGTTCAAGCTCCATGTGTGGGCTTTAAACCTCTCAGCTGTCTTTGAAGTAGACATTCTTTTTCATCTATTTTACTTGTGGGAAACTGCTATGTAGGCTGATAAGGTCTTTGTCTTTGTGCTCTGAAAATTCAGTAAATAATGTCAGAGACTTGAGAAGCGTTCGATATTGTACTTTTTTTAGCTTTAGAGTATGTTTCGTCTAAGGTGGTCTATTAACATCAAATACAAATTGCATCATAGCCAAAGCTTAGAAAAACATTGTCATTCCACTCTGTAGCAGTGAAATCCTTATCAACATTGTCCTTATAGCCCTGTTGCATTATTTCTGTTTTGCCTTTGGATTGTTACTTATTTGATAGACCAGTTATTCACCTCCATCCTCCTGCTCTTTCATGAAGTGCAGTACGATTGCACTGAAAGGCGGTGCAGACTTCTCATTCCCTGAGGAGTTAAGAGAAACATACTTTCTTCCCTTTTTCTTTTATGTTGGATTCTTTTCTGGTTTTTGCGTTTTGCTGTATTGTATGCCACAGGAACAATGTTCATAATGTGGGTGTCCCTTTGCTTTGATGTTTAGCTACCCTTGAAAGCTGTTTACTGCTTCATGTGCTCCCTCGTCAGGAACACTCTCTCTCAAATAACCTGGCATCATGACAAGTTATTTAAAACCGCAAGTAGGTATTATTAGCTGTTTGTTTCTTTTAAGTTTTTTGGTATATTTAGAGACACACTTTTTCTATAGTACAAAGAAAGAAGGTAAAAGTTGTATAAGATCAAAGCATCCACTATTTTTAGTTTTTGAATGTAATCCCTGGATGATGCACCATGGGATAGCTGGAAATTTGATCTTTATTGACTCTGCCATCTAAGAGAAAAAAGAAAATAGGTAAACCCAAAAGTAGTAATTGGAAATAGCTCCTGTGGAGCAAAGCTGTCATGAAGCAGTGTTGTCATGAAGCAGATTGATTCAGCAGTGGCAGAGTTGCTTTATTGGTTGTGAGTCCTTAGTAAATTAAAAAGAGGACCAAATGCGTTGATCTTTTGTGTGTGTGTGTGACAGTTTAGAATGTTCTGGCAGGATAAAGACACATATAGGATTGTGGGAAAGTTACCTACTTCAGTCAGTAATAGGCTTGGCAAAGATAAGAACAGAGTTCTTCCAAAACCCTTCTGGGTTAAATGTTCTTCACCGTACTGTAAACAAAGGATGGAAGTACTCTTGCTTGGTTTTTTTAAGCATTCAGGTGCAGTTAGTCTAGATAAAGGAATGAAGCATAGGAATTACACTAATTTTCTTAAGATATTCACAGTGGATTCCTTAAATTTGATTCTCTGTCTCAATTGCAAGGTCAAGTTTGTTGTTAATAGAAAAAGTGCAAAACTTTAGTATATTCTAGCTGAGGATCTCTTTCTGCTTCATAAGCAAAAGTCGGTTTTGGATTTGGATTTTTGACTCTTCCAGTTACTTCTAATTACTTAATGTCATTGCTCATTTCCAAGTAAATTAATCCTTTTTTTATATTTTCCTCTCCATATCATCATGGCTTGTCATAAGGATGTAATCTGTTTTGAAGGGAAGCAGCCACACAGTGAGACATAATAGTACAGAAGCTTTTCCTCCACATAAAACCAGGGGGCAGGGATGGAGCTGGGATCCTATGCTGGCGAGGACTAGACTTGCCAGATGTTACATAGATAAATCTGCTTTTCAGCCTCAAATTCTACACCATCAGAAATTTTGTTTCACATATTTCTTGTTGGCTTAGCACAGCTGAAATTCAGCCAGGAGGACATGCTCTCCTCTTTTACTGTCTAGTTTCCTGCCACTTCTGCCTGAAAATCCAGCTACTAGGGATAGCTTTGTGGCCTCTCATTCCCAATGTGCTATCTGTTATAGAGTACTCTGAACATCTGCTATTTTGGATGCACAGTTGTTAACAGGACAGAATTTGAGGAGCATCTTCTGTGAAGAGACTCTGGGGCCTTGCAGTTGGTGGGGGAAAAGGAATTGGAGATGCATGAGGTAAAGCAGCGGAGAGGGCTGGGAGCTGGAGGAACTGTTTCCCACCACTTCAGCCTGGCATGCAGAAGTGAAAGGGAACGAGGTCCTCTTCCAGGCTCTGGAGGGAGGTGGGAACTGGAAGTGTAGGGGACCCCACAGAGGTCTCCTCGTTGACTCTTGGAGAAAGGGCAGTTCTTGAACGTCATCTGCAAGAACAGAGCTTTATAGCTACTACTGACCCAGAAAGAAGGACAGTGGGGTAACTGAGCCTCCAGGAAGGATTCTAGACAGAGCCTCATGTTCAGTTTATTCAGCCATACTTCTGAAGAACCCAGTCTCTGTCTTGACCACTCACACCTGTCCCCCAATAGCAGTGAGCCACAGGGGCAAAAGACAGACCGAGATACCATCTCACCCATTTCATCCAACCATTTCACTCCCCACTTCTTTTCATGTTTTTCCTTTCTTTACTTGCTGGTCCTGCTTAGTTATCCTCTGGTTTCTTTGCCTTGCCAGATAGCTACATCTTTTTACAGAGGCTTGCACCTAGTCATGCTTTATGGGATAGCCTCCCCATCAGATCTGTGAAGCCACTGTGTTTTCTCCTTCTTTGAGGATACCTAGAAGAAATTGCTAAGTGCAAGGGAAGGAGTACATTAGCAAGTGGCTGCCATTCATCTATTTGTGTAGCTACTGAAGTGTTTCATAATCATTAATCAGAACTTATAGGTAAGCTTTATTCCTGTTCCCCCATATCTCTTTCCCCTTTCAGCCCCACTGTTTGTCACCCTCATCGTTTCTTGCCTTAAATTTAGATAGCCCAACAGGAGAAGCTGTGTCACTCTATGTGGGTGGTAGTACAGCGTAAATAGTTTTTTTCCTAAAAATGTAAATGCCATTGTAGTTTGCTCCAGTGTGCACAACGTTAAATGGTAAATGTTCTAAGTGGTAATTTGTAGTGTTTAAAAGTCTTGCTTATTCAGTCTATCTTGCTGTTTTTTTGTGCTGAATGACTGATCATTGCACCACTGTTTTCTTTGTTAAACGCATCTGTATGCAGAAGCAGAACTGCTTAATTTGTTTTGATCTGGCATACTGTAGTAAGTCTGCTTTTAAATTGCATACTTAGTAGGTTACAAATCAGGTGGCAGCACTTTCATGGTGCTTATTCTCCAGTGTAGCTGCAACCGCTGACTTGAATACTTTTTGACGACTTTTCTTTTTTGGTAAGTCTTCCGTAACTCGTTTGGCTTGCTTAAATGACCTGCTCCTCATTTTCCACAGCAAGAGTTTCTCTCATTTGGGAAATGTAACATTCCTAGCTCAAGCAGAAGCAAAATGTAGCGCTGCCATCTGGGCTGCGAAATTGGAATAAAGCTGAAAGTGTTACCTCAATATATTGCCATGGCTAGAAGCCAGTTGGCAAATAATAAAAGGATGATCTGGTAGTTGGCACATTAGTCAGGATCTTGGGAGACTGCATGTGCTTGTTGTGCTGCAAATCTCCAAGAATGTGGGCAAGTTGGAGATTATTTCTCTCACCTAATACTGGTTATCTAAATGTTAGCTATCTACTTGGAGTTAATTGTCTCAGATCAATCTGCTGTGAATGGATGGGCATTTCCAGAGGGCATAGGGTCATTCCACATCACTTAGCTCTACATTTTAGAGTAGGATGAATCACTTCTGTGGAGATCATCATCATAGAATGGTTTGGGTTGGAAGGGACCTTAAAGATCATCTAGTTCCAACCCCCCTGCCATGGGCAGGGACACCTTCCACTAGACCATGTTGCTCAAAGCTCCGTCCAACCTGGCCTTGAACACTTCCAGGGATGGGGCATCCACAACTTCTCTGGGCAACCTGTTCCAGTGCCTCACCACCCTCATAGTGAAGAACACCCTTGCATCTAATCTAAATCTACCCTCTTTCAGCTTAAAGTCATTACCCCTTGTCCTTTCGCTACATGCCCTTGTAAAAAGTCCCTCTCCAGCTTTCTTGTAGGCCCCCTTTAGGTACTGGAAAGCTGTTACAAAGTCTCCCTGGAGCCTTCTTTTCTTCAGGCTGAACAACCCCAACTCTCTCAGCCTGTCTTCATAGGAGAGATGCTCCAGTCCTCTGATCATCTTCATGGCCCTCCTCTGGACTTGTTCCAACAGGTCCATGTTCTTATGTTGGAGGCCCCAGAGCTGAACGCAGTACTCCAGGTGGGGTCTCACCGAGTGGAGTAGAGGAGGAGAATCACCTCCCTTGACCTGCGGGCCACCCTTCTTCTGGTGCAGCCCAGAATGCAATTGGCTTTCTGGGCTGCAAGCACACATTGCTGGGTCATGTTGAGTTTCTTGTCAACCCACACCCCCGAGTCCTTCTCCTCAGAGATACTTGTCTCTCTCTGTGTAGACTTCATAAAAAGACGGTGGCTGACTGCCTTAACCCAGGTACCTCACTTTTGGATGCCTGAGCAAATGAGCCCTCTATTCCTCTTTTGCACTTGCCTTTAGTTGAGGGTTAGTAACCCTTTTCTACCTCACAGGTACACACAGAGATTAAATGGTGCTACCACGTTCTCACAAAGAAAGCTATTACTGTGAAAAGGAAAGAAAAATATATTTTTAGTATTACAATTATCTGTATATACACATATATTTGTGACTGCCTCAGATTTTTTAACACAGTGTTGAAAGGGAGAAATCTTAAGGACAGAGACCTAGAGGCTTTTGTATCCCTAGGACATACATAATTGTTTCGTGACAATATTCTGATGAGAACACTGAAGAGGCAAACAAAGCTAGGACATGAGAATGCCTGGCATGGATATGAAGCTCCGTAAGTCATGCTCATTCATGGTGGCTGGTTTTATTTCTTTTTAGATTGTGATGGATTTCAAACACCCTGATGGCCATACAGTGGCAATTATGCTGCCCCGATGCAGTTTATTGGTGATGGCTGGAGAATCCAGATACCTGTGGACACATGGGTATGTGTAAGAGCCCCTGTATTGCTGATCATAGAAGAATAATACGAGTTGTTTGGTTGGTTTGTTAATGAAATTCTGTATTTAAAATTGCTCTGAAAGAAATCAAGTCAAGTTTTACAATTAATATACAAATTCACTCCACTGCTCAGATACTGCTCAGGTTAAATTGGAAAAAATTGGGGATTTTAGGAAGCTAATTGCCAGTCCCTGAGCTGCAGTTTCCTATTGCTGTCACAAGTTAAGTTTCGCTAGGAAATTGCTCTCACTTAAATCTGTGGTGTGAAAGTCCTCAATGACTCTGAGCTGGCAAAGAGTTGATTGTAGTGCAATTGGCTTCCCCGTTTCCTTTCTTTTCAGCCCACAGCTTTTCCCATTGGATCACATATGCCAAAGGCTTTAGAGAAGGGCTGGTTTAAGAGGGTGACTTCCCCTGGGCAGAGGGCAGGGGCCATGACGGTGAGACAAAGGGGAGTATTCCTGAGCTCTTCCCAGCTGCTTTAGGGACAGTTTACTGGTAAGGCTGCATTGTACTGAGCAGATTTGGGATCCTGGAAAAGAGATATCTTGAAATACGTCTTGAGGCTTTGCTTATTGTAGAGTTTAAATACATGCTTTTTAAATCATGCACCACTGGGAGATACTTACAATAGGAGCACTGAAATTGGCAAAAAGGTTAAAACCTTGGCAAGCTCTGAGAGTGACAGTAGTGCACTTCAGGAGAATATGGAAACCCTCATATTGGACAGAAATGCCCATGGTAAATGTTTCTTCCTTTGTTTGACCCAAGCCGTCACGGGTTACAGCAGTCAACTGGAGACACTAATTACATTCTGTGTAAATTAAACATGAAATCCTTTTATTGGCAGAAAATTTTCTGCCTTTTAATTTTACTGGTTAATTTGTATTATGAAGAAGGGTGAATATGAACTCCCCAGTGACCTTTACATTGTTTTTTTATAGACTACTTAAACCACCTGTATATTCCCTCATTAAATTAAATAGTTGTAAAAAGCAGCTGGTATTTCTGATGTGCATCATCATAGAAGCCCAGGGCAGTGAAGTCCTTTGTTTTTTGGTATACAAGACTGAACATGGATACCAGTGTTATAAGCTTCTTATTCTGTCCTGTCAAATACCATCAGTTGTCTTTTGGAAAGGTTATCTACAACTCTGAGAACATAGTGCAGTTTCCATGTCAGTGACATTGTTGGCCAGGGGAGCCCCGGGGGGCAGTCCCCAACCCTGGGGCATCAGGCAGCTCCATGGGTCTGGGCTGAGGCCAGGTGGGGACGTCAGCCTGGGGCTCAAGGCCCGGATCAGTGTGGCAGTGGCTGTGCACAGGCAGAGCTGGGGATGCATCTGGGGCTGTAGCTGAGGCAAGGCCCAGTCAGACAGCCTCCATTTAAAAGCAGCTCCCAGGGGAAGGAGAGATGGCCCTTGCTGAGGCTTCTGGCTGTCTTCATGACGGGTTTCTCTAAGGCCACCAGCTCTGCTCTTCCCAAGCTGGCCCTGGGCAGCCAAACTCCCAGGAGGGGGAAGGATGCATGCAGGGCAGTTGCAATACTTGCCAGCAGGCATTCAAGTTGGGGCAGTATACCTGCCTACTAAGAACTGGAAGGAGATTATTACTTAATTTACTTGTGCTTTCAAGTGATGGTTGTCTTTTGAGAACCAATGACGTAAACTGCATTTAAAATGAAGATCCCAGATCTTTCTACTCATGTTTAAGTTGTTCCTGTCCCATTGCTTGTCCACCTTTCCTAAAAATAGTTTTTCTTTATATTTTTAAAAGCAGTAGTGGGTCAAGTTACTCAACTGGAGTAAGCTTTCCATCATGCTACTGCAGCATACTATTGTCATCAACAAGATTAATCATTCAGCGAGCAAGTGTAGTTAATTCACTTGCGTATGTAACATCAAGATGTATTTAAGATCATTCGTGATGCCTTTTATCTACTCCTCAGAAGTCAAATTAGAGAGCAAAAGGTTCAGTTTTGGAATTATTCTGGAAATGTTTTCAGTGTGTATGCCAGGGGAATTAGAGACTTCATTTTGACCCTGTTAACAAAGTGCACAGGAAAAGGATTTTTGTTCTGTTCTTTCTGAAAGAGAAGTATGTGGTTAAGAAATAAGCTATACAGTATCATCAAGGACAAAAGACATGTGCTCTTTTTGTCTCGTAGGTGAAAGTAAAATTACAGCTTTTCTGATGAGGTTCATTTGTGATGTTTTTTCTGATGAGGTTCATTTTTGTTGGGTAACCTGGCAAAACACCATTCCTGACACTGCAATAGTAAAACAACTCTGTGCCAAGCAAGAGGATGTGCAGCATTTTATTTCTGACTTTGGAAATCCTGTCTTTAGCCCAGCCTTTATCTAGAGCTCTTGCTTGTAGTATAAGCAAAAGGAAATGATGTAGTTTGAAACTAGAACCTTGAAAAAGAAGACTTATTTCTGAAAATATTAGCTGCCATGCTTGGGATTTGAAGTTCCCCTGTCCATGGAGTCTTGGGCACCCTCAGCTGATTATTTCATCACAGCTTCATTATCCACCATGAACAAGGCAGTTCTTTGTTAGATTCCATCCTTTCCATGGCTGCCTTTGGGAGATTCCCGTTCTCGGGGCTGCTCCATGTCTGCTTTTTGCAACATTTAGAAGGAGCATCAATGTGCTGCTTCCTGATTTCCAGACTGAAAGGACCTGCACTCTTTCTCCCTGGGACTGGATTAAAGATCAGCTTCCCTGTGGTAGGAAAGATGGCATACAGCAAAGTATGGGAATGCTGATCAAGCTGCAGGCTGCCTTCTGAGCATTCGGATCATTCTTCTTGGTTACGTACAGGCACTGGTCAGCAGCTTCATGTGACCTGCAAAAAAGTTCCAGTAGAAATTTGAGATGAGACTGAATGCTCTGTTTTATTAAAAGATGTAAGACTTTCCTCCCTCGCCCCCCCTTTTGGCTCAACCTATGAGGGTTAAACTCAGCTAACCAATATCGAAGTCAGTTTTATACTGAGAGTTTGTCTTGCTGGGAGTCAAGTACTTTGAAGTCAGAAGCTCTGAAGGGGCTTCACTGAGAGGCCAATTCCTTAGAGATTTATTTTTTTTTCCTTGAGGAAATTTCTGCATTAATCTCCTTGATGACTAAGTTCAGGAAGCGTTTCAGTGTGACAGTAACAGCTTTGAAGTGCTAAGCTGTTTCCCCGAAGAGTTTCCATTTTGTTCCAAGAGTATCTACTTTTTTCTATGTGCAAGTGATGGGATACTGCGTGTGGGTGCAGCTGTTTCTCTTCTCTCATGTTATGTTTTGCATTTTAGTTTCTCATTTTCCTCTTCTCAACTTTGAGAGAGATCTGTTTGTAGAGCTATTAAAAATTCTTGGGTTTGGTACTTTTTTGTAATGTAAACCACTTCATAAAATTATTTGAAACTTTTGTCACCCCAAGAAAGTTCCAAATCACTTTCATTTTATGAATTTTGTCCTTGCAAAAATGTTTCTGTGTTCCATTAAGATCCATGCCAAATCCAGAAGTAGCTTAAGAAGTTTTGCTCCCAGTTTGATTGATTGATAGATTTTGGTCAAGAAAGATCTACAGCAGAGTTTCTCCCTTTAGGCATTTTAGCAAATCTCATATAAGTGCTACATTCCTTGCATCTTCTGTTGTCAATATATGGAAAAGCAATTCTGTTGCAAAGCAGAATTCATTGGAGAGGCCCATTTGTAACAAGAAACTTCAGTCTGCTAATGTAGAGCTCAGACAATTCTGTGCTTTTATACCTATAGCCACAATTTATAGTAGTGTATTTTATCTTTAACAAATATATTTTTTTATATAAAATAAATATCTAAAAAAAATAAGTCCTAGAAAAATAAATAATCAAACTTTATGGAAGGAAAGGAAGGAAGGGAAGGGAAGTGTAATTACTTGCAATTAAATAACACTTTAACATCATTAGTTTGTGTCAGCTCCTCTTTTTTTCTCTGAAATTGAATAAGTTGAAAACTGAGAAGCAGCAGTACATTAAATAGCATGTTATAATCACACTTGTCACAGTATGTAAGAATAGCGTTCTTATAAAGATGGATTTTTTTTTTCTGATGCAAATTGATTTATCCTTTTATTTTGTGTTACTTTGTTTTAGGATTACACCCCGAAAATATGATATCATTCAAGCATCTGAGCTTGGGCAAAAAGTTGGAACAATCACTGCTGATGTTGGAGATTTGACACTAAATCGCAGGGAAACAAGGACATCATTTACATTCAGGAAAGTGAGGAGAAGCCCTTGCAATTGCAGTAAGTGTCTTGAGGTGATCTTCAAGTCAAAATCATTATTTATCACCAATATCTAAGCATTTTTGGGGGGGCAAAACGGTTTATCCCTTTGGGTAGTTTTGGCGGTCCTGGTAGCCATTCCTGAATGGCTCAGGGTTAGGTGTACTATATGGCTTGAATTGGTTGGATCTGTGTGGTTGCTGGAGTTTTTACAGGAAGGCATTTGGCTTGCTCCAGAGCCCAGCAAGTAGTCTGGAATCTTGCATTTCATTGGGACCTCAAGTGCCAGAATAATATAACAGAATAGAAGTAGCTACTGTTCTTCAGGTTCTCATCAGTATTGGTTGTTTTTTGTTTGAAGGGGACTGTAATTTAGTGAAAATAAGTACATTAGAGAAGAAGCAGACAGATCTGCAGTGATAGAGCCATGTAAGTGCCTTAGGGCAGTACAGATAATAATAGATAGGTGCCTCAATGCTTACATGGAATTGAAGTCCATTTGTGCCCTCAGAACAGAATTTCAGAGGATGAATTGCAGTGATGTCGTGATCTTTGGTATTAGGGACACTGTCTCAGTTTTGAAAACATAAACCTTGTTAACATAGCAGGATGAATGATCACTGCAAATGGCCTCTGGTACATGCGGGCAGGTTGCTTGTTTTAATGTCATCAAACACTTCTGCAGTTTGACCTGCATTTCAGTTTTTAAAAGGTAAAGGAGAAATGAAGCATTTTTTGCATTTTAATATTTCACTTTTAGTTTTATTTGGCTAAAAAGTTTAACCAACAAGGAATTACTTTAAAAAACTTTATTTTTTGTGTATCTGTTGCTATATCTAGTTTACCCATCTGTCTGTGACAGCCAGAAAGGACAGCAAAGACAGGTACAAGCTTCATTTCCCCACAATGACATGGAGGCCTCGAAGCTGGAGCAAGAATGTGTACACAAGGTGTACGAAGAAATTGCCACACACTTCAGCAGTACCAGGCATAGCCCATGGCCCCGAATTGTAGAATTTCTCAGGTCCCTACCAAAAGGGTCAATAGTAGCTGATGTTGGTTGTGGTAATGGGAAATATCTAGGCATCAACGAGGATTTGTACATGGTAAGTAATAGCTACTGTCATTTGTTTTCATTGGTACTACTGGTTATTCTATCGTGCAGTTTTAGCATGTTGGAGCTTCAGTTGTGGGAAGAGTGCCAAGAACAGAAAGCTGTTTCCTGATCCAAGATCAATTACCAATTGTGTTAGGTTTCCACATCCATTCACTATTTGCATTACCCTTTCCTTTTCTCAAAGCCACTTTTGCTTTGCAAGTCAAAATATGTTAATAAAAAAAAATTGGGTGTAGTGGATTGAAAAATTTTAGTGGATGCTTTAGCCTTTTTTGTTGTTGAATAAGCTTATTAAAAGGGAAAATGGTTAGGCAGTTTGAATGCTTCCAAAAAGTTTTTCACTTGTCTGGTGCGTGGGGAATGCAATGTACATGTCCCTGAAATCTTTGTGGACAGCACTACTTTTCCTATATCACTTTTCCTATATCCTCTTCAGTTCCCTTTGGCCTGGTGGTGTGGCTCATTTGTGACTGCTGTCATGTTTGGCTGTCCCACGTCTGACTCTGTGCATAGGCCCAGTAAATATGCCAACATAAAATTCATGGGAGAGTCTCAACTTCAGCACAGATTTCTGGTCTTTCACTCGCTCCCTTTTCTTCACTTTTAGACAGTTTTGACATCATTCTTGCTGATGTTCTCATCACCTTCCCTGTCTCACAGTCTGTACTTAGCCCAGTTTTACTTCTATCAGGGAGACACGAAGCACATACAAATATGAACCAAGAGATAGTTCTTATTGCATTGCATATATTTAAAAGACTTTTTTGCAAAGGTCAAACTTCCTGTTATTTTTGCCCAAAATAAATCTTTCTGAGAGGTGTGCATTATGATATCTGCTCTCCCCTGTTCCAGCATTGTCTGATTCTTTCGCATGCTTGTACTGTGAAACACTTTGAAATCCATCAGGCTTGAAAATTTTATATGTAGGCAAAACATTCATTATTAATAGTAGAAGTCAGACTTGTTTATCTGTTTCAGAAGTTTCTGTCCTGCTATTTATATTCAGCTATAAAACCTAAGTTGTTATTTACAGCCCTGTCTGTATTAGTAATGGATTTATTTGCGTTACTGTTCTTATAAGCTAGAAATCAACTGATTTATAAGTAGGCATGTTTATGCCTGACTGCTGTAGCCTGAAAATAATTATTAATGTTCAGTACATTTCAGTCTTTCACTCCTGGCTCCTGTAAGAATAATCAGCAAACCTAACTGGAGAGGAGAAAAGTTTTATCAGGGTACCATGATGGTCACCTGGCCTTAGAATACATTTGGTAAATTGCTGTTATGTAGGTTTGTGGTAGACTTTTAAGGTGAAATCTCTGCAAGATGCTGTGTTCAGAAATTGCCAGCACCAATCTTTTTTTCTGGAGCCCACAGTTAACCAACTAGGGGAAGGAAAGATCCGTATTTACTGGCAGTCAAATGAAAGCCAGCCCCTCTCCGCTGCTACTTTAGGAGTTACCTTGCATGTGCGCTGGCAGGAGAAATCCAAAACCTGAAAAATAACAGTGAAAGGGAGGAAACTTTTAAAGAAGCAGTTGAGACAGTTGAAAAACAGAATCTGGGAATTGCTTCATTCAGTTGGCCTTGCTTGACTTTTTTTTTCTACTGGTGACAACTAGCTGTTCTTGATTAGAGCTAGACTCTAGACTTCGCATTTGCTTATTTTTATCTGCAAGCCAGCACAGAGTCTCAGGAAGGTGGATGTGACTCCTTCTTCCTACTATATTTATCTTTATGTGTCAGCCAAAGTGTGGTTAAAGAAAAACCGGTGTATATCGTGTTTACAGATTTTTTAAACTTTTGACAAGTTATCTCAAAAAGACTAAGAGAACTAAATTATCATAAGTGAGAGGAACAGTGTGGTGTTACACTGGTTTGGACACAAAGGAAAGTAGGACTGTTGGATGTCATTCAGTACTGCTGAAGGGTTATCAGTGTCACATAGATCACCTAGTATAGATATACGTAGTTGCTGCTAGTGGGAACAATGAGGTGATCCAAGGGGACCTGATGGTTTGGGAGCAGGTTAAACTGCAGCAAACTGTTTTCTGCTGAGAAAACAAAATACTTTGGGCACATTTGGTGCCATTTGTCAGATAGAACTTATGGTCATAAAATGCCAGAAAGCCAAGCACTGAACAGGAGTCATAAGGAGCCAGTCAAATTCTTCTAAGAGACATAAAATCACTTTGTTCATAAGTAATACAAACCCTTGTTCTTTGACCTGAAGGAACGTGCCAATAGACAGGAGTTAGCAAGACATTTTTCTTATGGTCAGCTTTTTAGAGAGTGAACTGTCCTGATGACTTTTTGTGCATCTTCCTCTAAAGCAACTGGTAATGGCTATTACTTGAAGTAAGGTACTACTTTAAATACTTTCCTGTTTCTGTGATTGCGGAAGGTACTGACATCAGTTTTTTATTTTGTGGATTCTGATTTGTGGGAAATCAGTGCTCATTTATTCCTTCATGGGAAATCAATACTTGTGTATTCCTTAATGGGATTTTAACCTCTATTCCCTTGCCGTACTACACTGTAGGAAGTACTGTAGAATAAGTGTCAGCGATGTATTGGTATTATCACTGGTAGCCAGTCTCCTTGGTGTGGTGACTGTTGGATGAATCAGCCTGTTCAACTATTCTTTTTATCTAAGGGAGAAAGGAACAGTCTTTTCCACTTTTTGTTGTCCTCCTGGGTTTTTATTTGGGCTCAATAGAAAGGTCTGATTATGCAGGGCTGTTTCTCATACTGTGTTACTTCCACTTACCATGGGCTGGGCATGGAGCCGAGGGTGAGAGGTTACAGAATATGCTTCGTATATCAGGTGCATTGTTGGGATAAGGGGAGTGCTCTCTAGATGCAGGGCATCAGTTTCCTCCTTCATTTACTCCTCTTGACTTGGGGGCATAAAATCCAGGCAGAAAGTTAATCAATTGCTGCAACCTTTCCTTCACAGCAATTGCTGTGGCTCTTGGTAAGTTTTTATGCACAGTGCACCGGAGCTGTTAGCTTAGGTCCTGTTGGGAAAGAAGCAATAAAGCAGTGCTGTGAAATTGGGAGTTATTTAGGGGTTGGGTAGAGCACTGTTAGTACAGCTGTGTAGCTTGGAGTGTTTTGACTCAGAAATACTGAAAACTTGAGGCAAGCACTTTCTGAAGGTAAATGATGTGCTCTAATGGTTACTGTACATTTTTAGATAGGACACTTCAAGTAGCAGTGCTAATGGTAGATCAAAGCTAAGGTAGCTCTCTTGATGGTTTTAATCTTCAGGCACTGTATGAAAATGTCTCCACTGTGGCCGGTGCTATTTTATTTGCTTCAGTTTCTTTGGATGATTACATATAGCCTTATCTACTTGAGTATCGTTGTGTGAAAATGAAATGCACATGAGTCCAGCTATGCTGAACGAAAATGACAGTGCTGTAATGGCTGCATTATTCTGACACAGTGGAAGAGCAGCAATTTTATGACAAGTAAATTCAGATTTAGAATGTTTGAGCGAGAGATGGAATCCAAGTCTGGTGTAGTTAGGACAAAGACTGGAGAAAGATTAAATTTAATAAAGTTTCAGATTAGTTTTTCTTTTTTTGTCTTGCCCAGCTTTTTTATTGTTTGAATGAATGCAAAAGGAAGAAATGGTTTTAGGGTTGATTTTACACCACCCCCCCCCCCAACCTCATTTAGGGGAGCTATTTTAACAGTTTATATTTAAGTGCTTTCAAGCTTAATATTCACATCTGTAAGCAGGGCTGCTATTTTTGCAGAATGCTATGTTTCAGCCTTACCCATCCCCTCCATCACCACAAGGGTTTCATTCCAGAGCCAATCGACATCATTGCAATGTATCTCATCAAATTTATGAGCTTTAGCTCTGTCTCCCAGTTTCCAGTGTTCAGGTAGGTGTGGTGATGTGTAAAACCCCACAGGAACGTTCAGCATCCTCATGGGGCTAGGGTGTGAGTAAAAGACATTGAAGCCTTTCAATTTTGTGGTTTACATTTTTAATTGAACTGATAAACTGGTGGGAAATCCAGTTACAAATAACTGAAAATGCCCTCAAGTAGATATTTTTTCTTTATCTATAAAGAATTACTCTCCTTGCCAGAATACTGATGCTAAGAAGAAAAATTATGGCAGTGCTGGAGCCCAAATGGTTTGCTTTAATACGGACATTCCTATTTCTGTAGTGTGTGTCATTCAAAGGCAATCAGTAACGTAGCTTGTATTTCACATGACCTTGTAAGACACCCTTTTGCTGCAAGATGTCCATCTCTGTTTTCAGCATTGCTGTCCCAAACTAGCATCCACTGGAACTGTATAACCAGGGTGTGGGGAAGAGGGAGGGTGTTTGCTGCGGTATGGTTGCATAATGGTGGGTGGGTTTTAGTTGCACTGGGTCTGTGTTGATTGAGAACAGATTCCTACTTAGTAGTAGTGGGCAAAAGCAGGAAGGGCAAAACTAATTGGTAAAGGTATATCTGGAGCAAGTTCACTGTATCTTAGGGATTGGAGGGCGAGGCAGAGGAACTTTGCCTGCCCTTTTCTCTCAATGAATAGGAGTCATTAAAATGATGGGAGATCTGAGAAGAGAGCTCAGAAGGAACTGGGCAACAGCAGCACAAAACCAGAATGAAAGCTGAATTGCTCAACTTGGTTCTGGTGCTTTGTCATTGAGAAATGAACTTCATGTTTTAGACATAGCACTTTGTTTCCACAGACACCCTGACTGTATGCAGTGGAAAACCAAAATGCTATGTGAAAGGAATGCTAAAGGCCCGAGTCGGACCAAATGGAGCAAGGACATTTATCTGTCTGGCTGTGGCTGTGCTGGTGTCTCTTTTTCTATGTATGTGTGTGTTTGCTGGAATGTAATTTGGTTCCTTGAGGCTCTCATGCTATTACTTATAGCTGAGGTGTTTCTCCAGGGAACGGCATAATTCCATTTGGTGGCTGGATTTCAGAATTAGATGTCATTTTCTTCATCAG